GTCTCTCTCTCTTTCTCTGTCTGTCTGTCTGTCTGTCTGTCTGTCTGTCTGACCTTTTCCCTGCACTAAATGACAGTTATTGTGTCACAATGCTTTAACTCACTAAATACAAACTCAAGACACAGAATTTGCCTTTTATATGGTGGAGAATTATGTCTGGCTTGTTTTTAATTATATATGTTACACTCTTCTTGATACTTATAGAAGATAGAACAAGCTTTTTTTCCGTAAGTTTCGTTTGTACTGTTGTATAGGTCTGCTTATTTCTATCAGCTGTCTTCAAATGATTCAGTTTTTGGCTCAACCACTATAAGGTTGCAACGCCAACTGTTGAAATTCTTTTTGCTGTTGACATGACGTTTGTTATTTTGATCAATTCATCTTGATTCTGGCCTGGCTTCAAATTACCCTTATTTTGCCAGTCACGGCGCACCGGCAGTGGAATTTTAGATGTCGCGGGGGGTTCCCCGCCGGGCGCCTTATCACGTCGGGGTCACAGGGGTCAGCTCCCTGTCGCCGCTCTGTCTGGGCCAACTTAATTTTTGGTACTTTTCAACGTACAATTTAAGGTGTATCCTTGTATTTATGGTAATTCTCATTTAGTGCACCCAAAGCATGCATTTCTGCTCTTGAGACTCAAAAAAGAACTGACGTTGTAACTTGTCTGGTTATTTCGTTAGACGCGCTGGAGTCGGCAATGCTAAATTGTAATTTTTTTGGGACTAGCATGAATGACAAAAATCAATATAAAAAAAAGGCCTCGTCAAAATCTGTCAAACTTTTGTAACATGAACGACATAGCATTGGTGCAGATACTCAGAAAAGATGGTATCTGTGCATATAATAGAAAGCCGTAATTTTGCAACTTTATCCATCGGGCACACAATTCACTATGAAGTAATTCCTCCAAATACAACTTTTTGTGTCTAATATAATCGTGAATATTCGCATATTTTCTTGAAAGTTTATAAAAGTTACCATGAAGTTTTTCTATGAAAAGTACAAATCGATTTTAGTGCTAGAATACATCTTCTATGTAGATGTAATACACGAACAGCATCTGTTACACTCGAGAAATTCCTTACTTTTCTTAAAACGCTAAGTCTAGGTTTTGTAAGCTGACTGAATAATAGGGATGACTTCTCGTAATTGGGTTATAAGAATAATTTCTAGCTTTCCAGAGACACTGAATCAGCACCAGACTTTTCCAGCTTTAATTTTCGTTTCTAAGACCATTTGCAATAACTGACAATGTGACTGATTTCTTTACATTCATAATTGTGTCCGCGCATATTTCCGACACAAAAACTAAGAATGAATGTGTTAGCTGTCATTATTTTTATTCCATACAAGAAGTTTATCTCTACCCTTGTATTTGCACGGTTTTGTGGGTTTTTGTATCGCATAGATTCTATATTTTATCCTTTTGGTTGTATGCAGGCTGCCACAGACACAGCATGATTCATGAACAAACGCAGAGTAACTTTCTCTTGTTTAATCTTTCTTCTCTTATAACTTGACTATTTCTACTCGCGCAGATTTAAGATTTGTCATGGTAAAAGACATGATATTCGTAGTTAGTTTAACACAGATTTTGGAGAGATCTGTCGTGCCTTTTTTAAATTAACAATCATTTATTCATAAGTTTGTAACTAAAATAGGACAAATTGAGTACTCTACAAACACTTGTCTAGAACAAAAACTAAGGCACAGAAATTAACCATTCTAACGCAGAATAAATCTCAAGACGTTAAGCTTTTAGTACATCCGCGTAATGGTTTGCAATGTTGGATGGGGAAGAAGTTATATCATTTTAAACATAATCAAAAATGCGAACTTCCTAATCGACATCGGCAAAGTGGCTTCAGGGCTCATTAACCCCTTGACCCCGAGCTGGGGAGCTCCGGCGGGCTGCTGAGTTACGCTAACTAAAAGTAACAGAATCGGGCGAAAAGTGACGTCGTGCAGTGAGCACTAATGTTCAAAACATATGGTTGTTCTATTTACGGCCTGTGGGTGGTTGGCGGGTGCTGTGGTGTGGTTTGCTGCTTCTTTCCTATCAAACATCTATCATCCTTATCTCTTTTCCTTCTTTTTATTGTGTTTGTTACTCTCTTGTAACACCTCTAATCTTCGGCACTTACATGACCTTATTGTGTTGCAAGTGCCGTAAAACACTTACAAAAACAAAATATTTTCGAGCTCGTAAGGCGCCCCCCCCCCCCAAGTATCATTGATCATTGGAAAAGATGTGTCTGATTTTTTTCTTTTACCGTTGTCTTTTAGTCATCCAACCTAGCTTCGTCTCTGAACAGTTTCAAAGACTGGCTATATATAATTTTGTGTTCGCTTGACATGGCCAGTGGCATTTAAAAGTATTGAAATTATACAGATTTTTGTTTTAAGATCTACTATTGTCATTACTTTCCGTGCCTTAAGTGCGTTAATTACATCCTTTCCCATAAAAGAAAAGGATAACATTCTTGCAATGCCTTTGGTGTTAGACAGGACAATATAGTATTAAACTTGATATTGCACTCACCTTAAGAAAGTGAAACAGTGGGTGGCTGGCAGGTGCTCTGGTTTGATTTGTTCTCTCTTTCTTATCAAACAGGTAGAGTTCTTATCTCTCCTCTTTTTTTGTGTGTTTATTACTCTCTTATAACATCTCTAATCTTCGCCACTTTTATGACCTAATTGTGTTGCAAGTGCCGTAAAACTCTTACTAAAGCAAAAAAAAAAAATGTAAAATAAAAAATGTTTATTTTTCTTTATATTATTATATATAACTTCAGCTATCATACAAAATGGTTTTTCAGTTCCAGTACACCCTGTGGCGAGTCCTCATGGCAGGTTTCTGGTGGACGGTGGTCATTTACTCAATGATCGTGCTCACCATCATCTACACCTACCAGTTTGAAGACTTCCACGGCTACTGGGCCAATGTTACTGGCTTCAGTGACACTGTGTAAGTTCAAGAGATGTGTATGTTTCGGTGTTACGGTTTCAGTTCCTTTTATCAGGGTTGTAACTAGAAAAAATGTTAATGCTTTTTTTTTTTCATATTCATCGTCATCTTGTGTTTCTTTCTTTTAATAATAATAATCATTGCAATTATCTAGGGCATATCCACACCCTACAGCATGGTTTATACGCTTTAAAACTATCATTACCCCAGCAAAACCTGGAACACTCAGAAACATTCTCGACTTGCTGGGAAGCTTACAGTACAAGCTGCAGGCTGCACACATTCAAACCCTAACAGACAAAATCTAGAGCTGGTTGTAACCGAGTACCCATTCTCACCTGGATGGATGAGGATCATTCAAGTAAAGTGCCTTTCCCAAGCGCGCAAAGTCAGGCCCCTGACAGGATTCGAACCCAGGACCTTACGGTTGCAAGTTCAAGAACCTTACCACTAGGCCAACGCCCCCACTGTTTCTTTTGTGTTCACTGGATTTTTAATGTCTTTCCCCAGGCTGAAGGACATAGGCTTGGAGCGTTACGACACAGCTGGCCTCTTTGTGAAGCTGCTCACACCCACCAGCTTTGTTATCATCATCATCCTGCAGCTCCGCTACTTCCATGCACCGTTCCTCAAGCTCAGTGCACTGGACAGATACAAGTAGGCTGTTACCATGTTCAATGATTCTTTGGTTATATACTTCGTAACACTCTCTCTCTCTCTCTCTCTCTCTCTCTCTCCCTCTCTCTCTCTCTCTCTCTCTCTCTCTCTCTCTCTCTCCCCTCTCTCCCCCCCTCTCTCTCTTTCTCTCTCTCTCTCTCTCTCCCCTCTCTCTCCCCCCCCCCCTCTCTCTCTCTCTCTTTCTCTCTCTCTGTCTTTTTGTCTCTCTCTCTTCTCCCCCCCCCCCTTTTTTCCATCTCCTGTGTGTTTTAAGGCTGCTAAGATAGGCGCTTTGTTTTTACTTGAACCAGGTTTTTATTGATTTGAAAAAGATTGCACCTGCAACATCTGCGTGGATGTTGTATGGTTAATGTGAGCTCAGGTGATTTGCTAAGTTGTAACGAACCAATCCACCTGGTACAGGTCACAAATAGAGTAAAATCTAAGTATCAGATAAAAAGTTTTTGTTTAGTCGTTTAAAGAAAGTCAAGTAGTTTCGGTGTCCAATATAGGAATGAAGGATAGAGAAATAGATTCAATACTCGGTTGTAAATAAACATTCTCATTTTTATTGTTTCATGTATTTAATTCTTTGATGCCGTTGAGACAATGATTTTCAGGATGATTTACGTCATCAATTAATCAACAAGAGATCAACTAATCATAACTTTAACAAACACAGCTTAGACTAAATGCTGTGCTACAAACCGAGCCAAGGCCTTAGTTGTGACCTCGCTCACTAATTATGTAAATCTTGATGACCCAAAAGGACTGTACATGTGCACATCTTTACTTTACCTGTGGTGTTAGAGATATTTAGCACATAGCCCTTGAAGAACGGAAAACTAAATTGTATGATGTAGTTTTCGTGTTCATTTTCTTTGATTTCGTTTAGGTCGGAGCCAGTGAACAGCAACGTGAACCGCAGCGATGACGAGGCTGTTGTTCACAACATCACTGATGATGATGAGGATGAGAACAACTCGGCCGATGCACCTAAGGGTAAAGATTTTTTTTTTATTACCAAACTGCTACAATTCTTCCAGCCTGTCTGATTTGTACAGTCTGCTCATTTTAAATACCCTTTGCGGTCTGTGACAAAAAAATGAGAGATTACTGTGTGATCCTTTCGGTGACTTTTTATAAAGTTTGCGTGTGTGTGAGAGAGGGTGAGTATCGGTAAGTGAGTGTGTGAGAGAGAGAGGGAGAGAGAGACAGAGGACAGTAGCTATTGTTTTTATTGCTATTATTATTATTACTAGTAAAAGTACACGTTCTACGAACGGAATAATAATGAAGAAGTATTAGGAAAGTTAAGAAGAGGAAAAAGACTGAAAACAGGAAAGAAACAAAACATAAATATTTTACCTTGAATTTATTCATGTAGCACCCCTTCTTGACTACCTCTAAGGGTAAGACTTCTTCCCCCTCTTCGAAGGCGTGGCATTTTCTCCTAAAGTTCCAGCTCAATCACTTAAAAATCACTACATGCCAATTGTTGCTTCATAGAAGAACCTAATCTATATTCTAGATCTAGATTCTAGATCTCATCTAGACACAGTGCACAAAATACACTCATCCTTCGGCGTGTGTGCTAAATCCACTGCAGGAGAAATCTACTTTCAATACTTTCATGATTTTTTATTTTGATCTAGATTAGATATTAGATCTAGACATAGATCTACACACGAACACACTGAACACAAAATATCCTTCGGCGCAGTTCGGCGTGCACGCTAAATCCACTGCAGGAGAAATCTACTTTCTTTCAGTACTTTCATGATTTTTTATCTTGATCTAGATCTGGATATTATATCTAGACATACACAAACATGCGACTACACACAGGGCGTAAACTAGGCTACGATTGGCTGAACCTTTGACTTTGACCCATGAATACATTAACTAGGCCTACGGTAGGCTACTCTTTGCGCTTTCGACGACACCCTCCCTCTGCAGTGTTTTCTGGCCTCCTCTATCTCTTCCTTTCTCTCTCCCTTTCTCTCTCTATTTCTCTCTCTCTCTCTCTCTCTCTCTCTCTCTCTCTCTCTCTCTCTCTCTCTCTCTCTCTCTCTCTCTCTCTCTCTCTCTCTTCCAAGGTAGGGTAATAAACGAAAAAGTCCCCACTTTGTAACATGTATTACTATTTGATTCTTCTTTTGCTTCTTTTTCTTCTTGTTTCCTCCTCCTCCTCCTGTTCCTCCTTCTCCTTCTTCTTCTTCTTCTTCTTCTTCTTCTTCTTCTTCTTCTTCTTCTTCTTCTTCCTCCATCCCTCTTCCTCCTCCTCCTCCTCCTCCTCCTCCTCCTCCTCCTCCTCCTTCTTCTTCTTCTTTTTCTTCTTCTTCTTTTTCTTGTTCTTTTTCTTCTTCTTCTTCTTCTTCTTCTTCTTCCTCCTCATTCTTCTTCTTCTTCTTCTTCATTTCTCCTCCTCCTCCATCTACACCTACAACTCCTCCTCCTCCTCCTCCTCCTCCTCCTCCTCCTCCTTCTAAGAGCGCTCCAAACCCGTTGTGAGAAGACGGTCAAAGGCGTGGAACTGAAACCGGGAATTCCCATGAACCTACATAATGTATAACTGAACACAAAATATCCTTCGGCGCAGTCGGCACCCCGCAGTTAATATACAATGTCGAAGCAAATGATGGCGATCGCTTCAAAAAGACTGAATTTAACTTAAAATGAGCTTTCTTCTTACACATTTGATCTTAATGAAAATACAATAGTGCAAAACTACATTTTAAGTTACGGGTACCGGCAAAGTTTCATATTTTTTCATTTGGTAGTTTCTGAGAATATACTGTTCGCAAAATTTGGCCTTAGCTCCATTAGTAGTAAGATTATTGTTGCTGTATTCTATCTCCAGGAAGCATGAGAAACTACCTGAAGAAGAAGCTGATCCAAGCCACTCTCCTTTGGAAGACGTTCACTGTGTTCTTGTGGCGTCTGGCAGAGATACACTTCTTCAAGCTGGTCTGCCTCATCATCATTGTGGTGGCAGTCAATGAGGTTTGTTTCTCTAGTTTATCCTCGCTGTCTCAAGTACAATATGTTATTTCATTTTACCTTGCTCAACATAACCTTGCTTTAAAAAAGGATAAGAGTGGTCTTGTTATGTCATCAATGTTGTGGTTGTTGTTTTTTCGTGGCAGACCACTGCTTCTTTCACCACAGCCAAGTGAGTGGTTTGTTGTTCTTGACATGTGTGTGTGTTTGTATGAAGGGGGAGGGGGGACTAGATGATTGACAGACATCTTCCATATCTTGAAAAGATTTGCAAGGGGAGGAGGGATGTGGGGAGATTACATTACAATTACCTGTTAATGGAAGTGAGAACGGTGAAAAAGCACTGCACTTGATGCACAAGAGTACCGGGTAAATCTTTTCTTTGATGAGGTTTGTCTTTACCAGCAAGCTGAATGAAATATTTCATGCATTTCTGGTATCCGTATTATCTGCAATAGCATGCCGTTTTTGATTGACTTAAACAGGTAATTTTTTTGTCTATACTTACGGCTTCTGAAAAGACTTGCTTCTATTCAAGCATAGTGTACATAGATTTAATTGTTTCTTTTGTGAAAGATATGCCTCTTGTGTTGGAAGAGCTATTTGTGTAATTCATAAGAAATTCACACAATTAAGAACAGGCTGTACAAGTGATGTCTTATTTTGCCCAATTTATCAGCAATAAATTATTTTATTATACTAGTTTGTGACTTTAAAAAATACAACAACCGGGGTTTGTTATAAAGTGGTTAGGCTCTTTGCAGTTCCACACAGAAGATATGAGTTCCATTCGTGGGCGGGAAAATTATTATCAGCATCTTTCTTTTGGGATGCTGTATCCATTCAGCCTGGGTAGGCCCTGATAGACAGGGTCAGAGCCTGTCTCCAAAGTGGAGTATTTTGTGTTGATTTTGGCAGAAAACATTGAAAACCATCTGAAAATATAATTCAATCACCGTACACCATATCGTATAGTGCAACTTTTCATGTAAAATATTAGCACTTAAAAAACTTCCCGTGTCGTATCCATGAGATACTGTATAGTACTCCTTGGTCAGTATAAAAACTTTTTATTTGTTTTATTTGAAATATTACTAAGGGATGAAAACTCCTAATAAAGGTGATGGCGCTTGCCATGAAAAAGTTTGTGCATCGTGTTCAACGAACATATGATTTATTCCAAAATTTAGGCTTTCTAATGTTTTCCGTGCATGTGTTCTGTATGCAATGATATTCAGTATCTTTTAGGAAGTTTGTCATTTGGAGTATATTATTCTCTGTGCAGGTTTCAGCATTGACGTTCATCTATGTCGTGGTATTGGTGACTTTACTCCCCGTCACACGGTGCCACTTGATTCTGTCTCACTTGATTCAGTTGTGGACGGCCGTCATCATTTTGGCCAAGATGATTTACCAGCTCAAGTTGGTGCACACTGACTACTGGAAGACCAACTGCTCGGTGAGTCGTTAGGAAAATATCAAGGGTTATGTGTGACGCCTCTTGTCAGTTCTCATTTTTTCTTTTCTAGTGCAATGTAATGTCAGCTCAAGGTTATTGATACTGTCAATTTAAAAAAATTTTGTTTGAACATTTTTCCCTTCTTTCTCATGTGAGGCTCCTTCTTGGGAATGATTTTTTTTTTTTATATATATATGTAAAATATAAATGTGGACAGGTATTGTATGAAAACAAAACAAAAGCAAAAACAACCTAACCGAAAATGCCCCCCTCCTCCACAGCACCACATTGATGCAAGTAGCCCGTTGTACATGAATGGCACAGAGGCTGACAATGCTGTGTGGTTTGGTCTCATCAAGATAGACACTGAAGGAATCTCCATTGATTACTACATGAGGGTGAGTCCAGGACTTGTGAATTGTCCTATGTTTTTCGGCAAGAATGTTTACTTGATTTATTTGATATTGTGCAGTATTTAGAACTTCAGAACTTTAAACCTGTCTCCCAAATTCTAGCAGTATGATACAGCAGCCAGAATGTTGTCAGTTAGCCTCCAGTTTATAAATATATGCTCTATAATAATGTTTTTACGGTTTGTCATTTAAATAATGAATTAAAGGTTTTGTGTAAGAAACCAGCTTAAATTTCAGAAGAGTGATATTTCTACCTTACTTTGTGTCAAATTTGTGCCTCTTATTGTTTTGTTTTTCCTTTTTTTTATTTTTTTATGTGTCTTCTGCTATAACATAGAATTGTTTTATTCCATACATTTTGTTTTGTCACCAGTGAGCTGCTCATGATACTATACTTTTTTTCTTTGAAAAGAAGACAGAACTATTGACATTTTGTTCACAAAACAAAAAAAGGCTAAAACAAAAGGCCAATACTCTTTAACTATTTTGTAACTGGTAATCATACAGGTTTAACACCGCTTTCAACACAGTAATGTAACATGTGACCCTTGATCAGGAACACCCCATTTGGGATTTGAACTAGGGTCATCCTCACCATGGCATGCTGCATCCATTGCAGAATCTCCAAATTTCGCATAAATCCCCAAAAACACTGAGCCAAAAAGGGAAAGAGCCTTGAAAACTCCACAAATGACCCTTGATCAGGAACATCCCATTTGGGATTTGAACCAGGGTCATCCTCACCACAGCCCAGACTATTTGTTACAGAAATGTTTTCATTCTATACCTTCTCCCCCTCATCCCCCCGCCTTCCAGCTGTACATTCTTGTGTTGGTGGTCATTGCCATTGAGAGCATCATTCGCTACCACCAAAAGCAGCACTTCAACCACCCAGGCCACACCCAGCCAGCTGCAGGCATCCTGTTTCCACACATCACACGGCCTTGTGCTGACAAGAGCATTGTGGACTGCATCAAGTTTTTCGCCAACTATCTCTTTTACAAGTTTGGTCTGGAGGTAAGTGAATCTACACTAAGAAGGTGGTAGTTTGGTTGTTTTTTTAAATAAACATTCAAACTAAAATATTCTTTATCTTACATTAGAAAGAGTTTACTGTGTGCTTTCAACAACTTCTGCAATGCCAAATTATGTAAATGCAAAGCGTCCAATAAACATATCTACTGAAATACACAAACACTAATTTACGACAGCATCCATTGGATCATACACATGCTGTGTACACGAAATGAAATATGAAAGTGGTCATTGCTTAGCCCACGTTGTGTGAGGTTACCCTAAAATGCACCTTCAACTTCTTTGTGAAACTAGTCAAACTCTAGATACTTCTGATTATTTTCAAGTTGCCAGAGCAGTCAGCTTTAGGACATTTTTGTAAATGCATCTTTACTCAATTTTCCTTACTTTAGGGAGATGGAGTTTCCAACTTTGTTGTTGATAAGTTTTCAGCCTAATTGCATGTACGTTGTGTTTTAGTTTTAAAATGATAGACATTTTTATGACCAATATTTATTCTGAAAGATTCAATAGTGGGTGGTTGTCAGGTGCTTTAGTGTGGTTTGCTCCTTCTTTCCTTTCAAACATCTATCGTCCTCATCTCTCCTCCTCCATTTTTATATATGTTACTCTCTTGTAACACAGCTATTCTTCGGCACTGCAAGTGCTGTAAAACTCTTACTTAAACTTTTTTTAAAGAATCAATTTACTGTTAAAAGTAAACATCTTTTCTTTCTCTTTCAGCTGTGCTATGTGATGTCCGCCATCACCATTGCTATTCACATGGACGACATCGCAGTCATTTACGCTTTTCTGCTGGCTCTTATGATCATGCTGTCTCGACGGTCCAATGCACGACTTTGGCCAATCTACAAGCTCATTCTGGCTATCCTTCTGCCTGTGCAGTTCTTGCTAGTGTTGGGATTCCCCATTGGAGCTTGCATAGGTGAGGGTTTGAAGTTAAACATCGCATTTTTGTTTTCAGTATTCTTTATATATAATATATATATATATATATATATATATATATATGTCAGCTGTTATCACATCCTTTGTTGACAGATGTGGTTGGCACAAAAGCAGTCTACGCTGTCACAAGAAAAATGATTAACTCAAATGATTTTTACTCACCTTGTAAAGCAAGGTCAAACTGGGTTTCTCATTTTACTTGCAACCGCACTGTTACAGTTAAAATCCGCTAAGGGTTGCAATTATTGTGAATTCTTGGAATGTTTTTTCCTCTCAACCCTGTGTTGTGACAGCTAAGATATCTGTCTTGTTGGAAATGGATCTATCTAAAATAGAGTTAAATGTCACCTTTAAAGACCGAAAATAGTTGTTTAAATTTGGAGCATATGAGTGAACAGCTAATTTACTGTCTTTAGACATTTGGTTGTGCTGTGTACCAAGATTTTACTTAATTGGGGGTTGGTGGGGGGGGGGGGATTGAATTCCCCATGGAGTTTCAAATACGACCAAAGTTATATGATGTTGAATGGAACACTGTTTATTTCCCCCAAAAAATCAAGCAGGTTTTTTTGTGGGTTATCTTTCAATAAATAGTGTTCATGTTAAATCCTTTTTTGATTACATTTGATGAGATAGTATGCGCTTGGGTATTACTTTATTCTCCCCCATCAACTGCCGAACCATATGTTGTTGTGATTTCAGGATGTTGAACAAATACTACTTTTTATAAAAGTTTTCATGGATGCATAAGAACACACGCAAGCTATGATCAGCGTCTTAGTGAACCAAATTACTAACAGTCTTATATTTCTGTTAGGCTTCAATAAAAAATATCATCACTCTTGGCTTGATGTTTCTGTAGATGAATATTTCTCATGCTGTATTGGGCCTTTCCGGAGTACAACAAATAGCTTTTCCAGGAGTCCCACCTGAACACATTTTCAAAGTATATTATCTGCTGTAATTATTTATTTTATTTTGTTTTTGTTTTTGTGTCTGTTTCAGAATACCCATGGACGGACAACTTCTCTGGCATAACTGAGAACCTCACACAATGGCTATTCCTTCCCAGCTACTCAAACCCACCGCACTCTGTCAAACTTATTGGTATGACGTTTTGTTTGGCGCAAAATCAGTAGCTCTTCTAACTGACTTGCACCATGTTGTCACTTGTTCACAGGGAACAAAATTGCTCTTTTCTGCACTACTTCCAAATTTTCACAGTTTAGGCCTACCAAATTATTTGCTATCAAATATTTTTAGGAGCACCATTAGCTAATTACATTTTATGCTTTCTTGTCTTTCTTTGTTCCTGGCATGATCTTCTCTTTACAAAAACTCCTTACCATATCTATTTTCATTTGAACTGTCCACTTTTGCATCTGATTTGGATTCAAAGAACATTTCTTAATATCCTTTTAGATAATCTCCCATGTTCATTGCTACTTGTCTGGTGACTTCAATAGATTTATGACTAAGAGGTTATGGGAGCCTTCCTTTGAACATGCTTTTTAAGAATAATTTATCCTTAGTCCTTTTATTTGCGTAATTGTATTCTAATGGCTGTGTTATCTTTTTTTCTTCACAGCGGATTTCTTCCAGCTGCTATTTGTGTGCCTGCAGGCTCGTGTGTTCAGCATTGAGTCAAATGTGGAACAAATGGAAGCGTATGGTGGAGGAGATAACCACGATATTCTCCAGGATGTAGAAGACAATTTGCCCATCCCTTGTAAGGACTTCACAATTGAGCAAAAGTAAGTTGTCATTTTTGTTATTTCTTGATTCTTCAACCGGACATGTGTCAATGAGGAGAAAGAAGGTTTTAGGAGAGAGTTGTTGAAATGAAAAAATAGAAGGTATTGCTGACACAAGCTTGAATTTGATATTTGTAAGAAATGATAGAATAGAAGAGTGGACATTTTTTTCTCTTTGATGTGAATCATAATGGTGGTACAGTGGATGTTTATGTATGTCTCCAACAGTGCTGAAAAATTTGAATGCTTTAAATGCAAGAGCTATTAAAGTATTCGTCAACTTTTTGCGGACAGAAGGAATGTTATACTTTTAAAACACTAGTAATCTAAACTGTATCATGTTCTCTGTATTGAGTATTCTGGAAAAGAAAATTTGCTATTTTGAACAAATTTCACTATTTACTGTTTGTAAAAATTGTTATAGCTTTTGTTCAAAACTAATAATATTATTGCATTTAATTTAAATGACCAGTCTGTCACTGTAGACAAAAAGAGTGCTGCAAAAATGTTATGTTTTAAATCTTTTATCCCCAGGGAGAACATTGATGTGGCCAAGTTTCTGATCTTTGAGAACATGTTCTGGGTGACCATGGCCATTGTTTTCATAACGGGAGCCACGCGCATCAACTTTTTCTCCTTGTTTTACGTAATTGCTGTATTTTGCTTCATGTGGTATGGCAAAGAGTTCTTCTTGAAACCCTTGCGCAAGTTGCTCAGAAAGTAAGTATGTGTCCTCTGTTTGTTGAAGCCATATCTTTTGCTGACCTGACTCTGTGTCTACTTTATAGTGTTCTTTCAAGTTATTAACTCCAATTACTCACGGTTCCAATAAATCAAGCCTGTTCTAAAGACCACGTGTCCAAGACAATCGCCTGTACAAAAAAGTACCACCCATTTTCCCCCTTGCGTTTTTTGTATTTTTATAATGACCACAAGGAAGACCACCCGTCTAAGATGACAATTTTTTTTACTTACTTAACAATGGGTGGTTTTCTGGGACAGATTTGATTGTATATAGTTTTATCCCTCTTCCATTTGATTTTTAAGCAACTGTCATTTGATCAGAGAGTTACGTACTTTTGTTACTTGCTGTTCAGATTTGTTTTCTTTGAATGATAGGTCAAAAATATGGTGATAGATTTGCCTGTCTTTTGTCTCAGTCATTGAATAATTCAGAATGTGAATTCTTTTAATCTCTTTTTGAGCTATTTTAGCAGTTTGTTTGTGGGGTAATTTTACAAGGACGGTTTTGCTTTCTTTTTCATCTGCAGCTGGAATTTCCTAATTGCCTACTGTATTTTTGTCATGTTCTTCAAGACCTGCTTGCAGGTAAGTGAGTCATCGATGTCCTTTCCCAGGTGCTTTCTTAAAACTGAATTGATTTTTTTTTTCTTGTATTTTTCGTTTAGGTCTTTTCATAATGTGCTCATGGTAAGGTGGGTAGTTGGCGGATGCTGTTGTGGTTTGCTCTTTCTTTCCTATCAAACATCTATCGCCCTTACTCTCATTCTTCTCTTCTTTTTATGCTACTCTCTAGTGACACCTCTAATCTTTAGCATTCATATGACCTATTTGTGTTGCGAGTGCTGTAAAACTCCCGCAAACCAAGCTAAAACTAAACACATGGTTAATGAGCACTTTTAAGTGTGACTAAATAAACTTTTTTCTTAGTCTGGCAAAGTATGGTTGCTTCAGTCTTAACTTCCTCTTTACTATAAAATCACCTCTGGTCCACAGTCAGTTTTATTCTTGTATTACTAACAGATTTAAACTGTGAACTTCTTTCCCATTACTCAGCCTGTAGATGGTTAGCGGGTGGTTTGGTTTGATTTGCACCTTTATTCCTATTAAATATCTATTGTCCTTTTGTCTCCCCCCATCTTTTTTGTGTTTCTTATTCTCTTGTAACACCTCTAATTTTCAGCACTTACATAATGACCTAATTGTGTCGTAAGTGCCATAAAACTTTTACTGAAACTTAAAAGACTGACTGGGCTTCCCTCTTGTATTTTTCCAGCTGGTGGGCTGTGTGTACGTGGATGAGCTCATCGACCACAACCAGTGCTGGCTGGTGCAGCTGTTTGGTGTCAACTGTCTCCTCAGCAACATCCAATACATCCCTAGTGAGTTTGGCGCTCATATGACCTTATGCAGTTGCGAGTGCCGTAAAATCCTCTATTTTTTAAAAAATCCCTAGTTAGTGTGAAGTCCATTACCAGTGTGTGGATGTACAGAAAAATGGGGAAGGCATGGAATAATATCAATAAGCTGTTCCCAAATAGGGAAAGGTGGAAAGTTTGTTCAAGGCCTGGCCTGATACAGAGTGAGAAAGGCAATAATGATGATGATGCCAGTGTTTGTTTAATGGAGGGGGGGGGGGGGGGGGGGCTGTCAATGTTTTGGGTATTTTTTCTTTCCCCTCTAATGTGTGTGGGTGTGTGTGTCTTGCAAAGTTTGAAAACTGACTATTACTAAACTAAGAAAATAGGTGATTGGAGGGTGCCACAAGAAGGTTCTACTTGTTAATCCTCCCTCTGTGGTTCCTGCCGGTCTGTTCTGCCTTTTCGATACATTAAATTCAAAGACAAAAAAAGCTCAAAGTTCTTAAGACATTTCTAAAAGTAATGTGTTTGTCTTTCTCAATGGTGTTCTTTTTCTTTATTTGAAAATATTGTACTCCCACTGTATTCTTTCAGACAGCAGCGGAACTTGCATGGTGGAGGAGGATGATGCTGGACTTGCATGGGATGTAGTCTGCCTTGCTTTCTTGCTCTTACAGCGACGCATTTACTCATCTCACTACTTCAGGCATGTGGTGGACACGCTGCACGCTCAGAACAACCTTGTATCCAGGTGAGTGGTTTCTTAACTTGTCTTTCTTTCTTTCTTAATTTCTCCATTTCCTGACGGCTTGCTTTCTGTTTTGTCAGCTCTCTTCCTCCTCCACCTCATCATCCTCTACCTTTTGTCCTCCTTCTCTTCCTCCTCAACCTCCTCCCTACTCTCCTTCTCCTTCTTGAGCTGCTCTTGTTCATACTACTCCTCCAGATTTTCCTTTGCTGGTGTTTTGTCAGGAATTTTAATATCTCTGCTGGGATGTTCCCCTCTCAACCTCAGTCAAAGCCACTCTCCTTCCACGTTCTCTGTATTGTTTCCATAGGGTTGTAAAACTGCCATTGTTAACGACCAAAACATATTTCTCCCTGCAAGATGAATAAAGATTGTGGTTGCCATTGTCATTGTCAAAATATGTGCAACATCTCTCTCTCTCTCTCTCTCTCTCTCTCTCTCTCTCTCTCTCTCTCTCTCTCTCACACACACACACACACACTCGGGTTAGTATCTTTGCCTTGCACTTACATATACACTCAAAAATAACTTTAATATGAATAGGTTAGCCACTAAGCTACTAGTCTTTAAATTTGCATACAGTATAAATATATATCTTGGTGTATTAGAGAAGCATGAAACTGATCAACTGCATCATGGTATACGAAGGTGAACCAACAGAACACACACACCTCAGCTGTTCGTACACAACATATTAGAAAGTTGAAATAATAGGGTTGGCTACTCGTCATAAGTCCACATACTGGATGAACATGCCCATTGTGCGTTACAGAGGTGCGGAGCTGATTAATCGTATCATGATCCGCGAGGTGAACCTGCAAAAGGAAGAGGAGCTCAAGGTTCTGGTGGGCATCAAGGAGAAGATGAAGACCCTCAAGAAGAAGCAGGCCAAGCTCAAGAAGGACTACAAAGAGCCCGAGGAACATTTTCAAGGTCTGCGTGCTTGTGTGTGTGTGCTGTCTGTATGTGTGTATGAGTGGTTGGGTAGGTGTGTGTGTATGCATGTTGATGTGTCTGTGTATGTGAGTTGGTGGGTTTGTGAGTGTGTAAGTGGGTGTGTGTGAGTGTGTATGCGTATATAAGTGGGTCTATGTGTATATGAATCGATGGGAGTGTATGCGAGTGTTTGTGTGGGTGGGTGGGTGGGTATATGTGTATGTATGTGGTTGTATTTGATATGTGTGCTTATGTGAGTGGGGTGTGTGTGTGTTTGTGAGTTTGTTTTCGGTGACAGTGTCTGACTGATTGTCTTTTTGGGTGTTTGTCAATTTTTCAGTCTATTGGATCTCTGTGAATGTGTCTTTGTTATATCTGTTTTGTGTGTGTATGTATGTCTGGAATTTTACATCTATGTGTCTCTCTTGTCTCCTTAAATGTATTTGTTTGGTCAGTCCATCTTATGCATGTTTGTGTGTGTGCATGTGTAAAAGAGTTCACATTTCTCATAACTGAACTCACTATTTTTTCCAGCTATTCGTGCTGGAGACTACTACCTGTTCGATGAGGACGAAGACGATAAAGACCCAGAAGGGGTCACCTCCCTCACCTTCGGTCAGGACAAACCCAAAGAAGGCGATGAGCCTTCCTCTCCTAATCCTCTCCAGGTGGGCTCTTAAACTACTCCACATAATTATTTCCTCCAGTAGTTTATGTTTTGTGTACTGAAAATTGCTCTTGGAGATAATTTAAGCCCCCCAGGGCAGTGCCACTGACTGAAGTTTCTTTAGGCCATTCCCAAAGGGGGGACATTAATCATGGTCTTATGCACAGTAGAATTGTAATTGTAAATGGACTGATTCATCAATGTCATGCTCATAACTGTGCCTGAACTACAACAGGGAACTGCTGCTTTTTCTTTCCAAATCCTTACTATCTTCATTTTTCTTCTTCTTCTTTTGTCTGTTTGTCACACTCTTCTGATTCGCTATTTCCGGGTTGCCTTGATAGTCGAAGCAGACTTTTTGCTGTTGAAGCTAGAGAAGTGAGCAGAGTAAGCCTGATTTCCTGTAAGGACTTCTCTGTTGACATCCATGCCTTGGCACTCATATTATGACCTTATGCTGTTGTGAGCGCCATAAAGCCTCTACTATAACAACACACGAGATAATTTTGCATAGTGGTTGTTTTTCTTTGTGTGTCATTGTAAATCTGTGTCCATGGTCTAGTAGTTAGGCTGTTGGGCTCGTAATCAAAAGGTCATGGGTTGAACCCCATTCAGAACCCCAACATTGTGACCTTGGGAAAAGTACTTTACAAAAATTTTCTCTCTTTGCCCAGGTGGGAATGGGTAGTGTCTGAAGTGTCTTCAGGCCATTCCCAAAGGGGGGACATTTCTCGTTCAAGCATAGTAGAATTGTAAATGGGCTGACTCATGTCACGCTCATAACTGTGCCTGATCTACAACAGGGAATTGCTGCTTTTTCTTTCCTGATCCTTACTATTGTCATTTTCCTCTACTTCTCTTGTATGTTTGTCACTCTCTTGTGACCTGCTATTTTGGGGTGCCTTGAGAGTCGAAGCAGACCTTTTGCTATTGAAGCTAGAGAGGTGAGCAGTCTTAGTCTGATTCCCTGTAAAGACTTCTCTGTTGACACCCACCCCTTGGCGCTCATGTGACTTTATGCAGTTGCGAGCGCCGTAAAACCCTCTACTTTATATATATATGGGTATAGACAGCGAAAGATCTTGTCGCTTTATTAGCCGTTTGTACTGTATGCTTTTAGGGAAGCTGAAAATGTTTCTGAACATTCTAAGGTCTATTGGGGTAATAATGATATTGTAAAGTGCATAGAGCATGCTATAGAACTTGAGTATGCACTATATAAATGCAGTTATTATTATTATTAAATTCTTTTTCCTGAATTGTATATCTTTGGGTTGTTTTTTTATGGTCGAGTAAGCATTTAGCATCATGATTATATATGTGGCTTTCCAAATTCTATTCTGTTCTTTTTTTTTTCTCATCAGGTGGTTAACACAGCTTACGATCAGGGAGCTTCTGCTGCTGTAGAGTCTTACCCCGGGGTAAGTACATGGAGATTCTTTGTGTTGTGTTGTGGGTTTGTTGGAGTGGTACATCCTACTGGAAGACCTCTGATTGTGGGTGGCTAACGGGTGCTCTGGTATGGTTTTCTCCTATTTTATTATCAAGCATCTGTCATCCTTATCTTTCCTCCTTTTTTATGTTTGTTACTCTCTTGTAAAGCCTCTAATATTTGATACTTTTATGACCTTATCGTGTTGCAAGTGCCGTAAAACTCTTACTAAAACTTTAACTGATTCCGTCCATGATTTTTTCAGGCTCTGGACAGAATTATTTTCCCCTGTTCAGTTTTAGACTTGGGGTGCATCTATTTAATGATTTAATGCATTACTGTGAAGCTCTAAGTTACTCTAATATGTATTGTCATATACCAAACTGATGGGAATAAATAGAAGAATCTGTTTATATCAATAACAATGACCTATAATCTGTTTGTATTGCATTTTCCTTCTTACAAAAACGAATGAGAAAAAAAATTTGTGCAATAGCTCTTCGAAAATTTCGACTTACCACATTTTCTCAGCTCACAAGTCCTTATAATCCATAGGAATCAACACAACATTGTAGCGATATCACCCTAGCACACATTTATGCAAGAATTTCACAAATTTAGTTGAATATCTTTCTTTGAAGAGCCTTTTTATTATACCGGGCTCTGTGTCGTTTACCCTTAAATCTAGCCTACATCGCGACAACAAAACAACGATTTTTGCAAGAATTTCGCGGAGTTTTGATCGATATTGGCGCACAGAGATTGAGGTCAGGTTTGTTTACAAGTTTTACTTCCTTTCGACAACTTAAAAAGTAGGAACTATGTTAAAAAGTACACCTTTGTTTCGGATTTCGTTGAGCCGCTCACAGCGGCCGAATGGAGGCAGCGGAAAAACTCAGAGCCGCTGTCAGCGGCCGAATGGACGGAATCAGTTAAAAATCTTGCTTTCCCACTCTGAGGATGGGTGACTGAGAGTTTAATATCTAGGAAGGTGGAGCAATGATCTCACTGTATCACTATTTTGATGTGAGCCAACTGCATCTTGGTCGAGTTGGTTACTTAATGGATAAAGCAACCTGCTTAATTGGAAATGATATGTGTGGGTGATTGGCAGATGCTCAGGTGTGGTTTGCTCCTTCTCTCCTGTCAACAATTTGTCATCCTTTTCTCTCCTTTTTTGTGTTTGTTACTCTCTTGTAACAACTCAAATTTTTTACATCTGTATGAACTATTTGTTTTGCAAGTGCCTTTAACTCTTAATAAAACTAAAACTAAAACTTGTCCACAGGGTGAAGAGGGTGCCGGAGAAGAGCCAGAGCCTGAACCTGAGTGTGAGTTGCCGGTGTTGTTTCTGTCATTACTTCCCTTGTCTCCTCTCCATTCTCTTATTTTTGCGGTATCCTGCTCTCAGGCATTTCAAAGAGAACACATACAGTTGAAACTGCCTTAACGGAAGCCTGTGTAAGACGGAAACCTGTCATAACAGAATGTCCCTGCTCTCCTCTTCCCAACCCCCCCCCCCAATAAATTCCTCTATAATTACCTTTATAGTCCGGAAACCTGTCTAACATGGAAAGAGAAAAAGAAATTCCTTCCCTTCTAAGGTTTTTTATCTGTCAAAGTTAGAAAATGCTTTGCCCATTCATCCCTGATTTGAAACAAAACTATCAAGTTTGGTTCCATCGGCTTTAACCAACCCTTGGCGTTACCTGGCGAGGCAGGTGAGTAGGAGTGCGACTTGGGGGTAGATGTTACCCCATCCTTATGGGCCCTGAGCGGTGCAGACAGATCTAGTTACGGTGGTGTGGGCGTGAATTCTCACCAGTGCCTGTGAAAGTGCTCTTGTTGCGTTCCAGATCGGAAACTTTCAGAGGTGTAAAATTATTTTGATCAATACCTGCTGCCCTGATCGTCCGGCTTGCCAAGAAAAAAGTTTTTTGAATCATTGCATGGGCAGGGTGGCATATGTTGATTGTGCTTATTACACTTATGGGCGGGGCTAAGGGCAGAAGCAAAGGAGACGTTCAAGCGTTTCTGTTTTTGATAGGTCAAACAGTGGTCCTATGAAATGCAGCACTGATGCCAACTGGACAAGCGACCCTTGATCCCACTAGCCGGACCTCTGTTGAAATCCCCCTCCATTTCCCAGTAAATTTCTCTGTCTTAGACGGAAAATGTCTAAGACAAAAAAATTTTCCAGCTCTCATGCAATTCCATCTGTGCGAACACAGGTTCAACTGCATATATATATATTAAACTCAATATTACAAAGTCATGGACATATTTCATGTATTCTTGAATTTCATTAATTTTTTTGCCTGAATGAAACTGAAGGTATTACTTCATGTAATACAATTCATTTTATAAAAAGTGATATTTTCATTTTTAGTTAAATCATTGTGGCCATAAGACAAGTACTCTTCCCATTCTTCTTTTCACTTTACCACATCAATTTTGTTAAACATGTTGATGATGTTTTAGTTTCCAACTTAGTATGCTTGATTCTTTTACTCCTTTCTGAGTTCCTACTTTAAAAGAGAGATGCCCTATAGGGGTTATCATGGTTCATTTTGTCCTGTCTATCAATTTTTAAGCAAGTTCTTGATATGTCAGCCTTTTATTTACTAACATATATTCCTATATATTCTGTCCTGTTCCCACCACACAGCCGTCAGCAAGATTCGCCTTGTGATCAATTTCATCCTGACCCTGTGGTACAGCATCATTGACTGGCTTATCCACCTGTGCAACCGTCTCTCTCGCAACTACCGACTTGTCGCCAAGAAACTCTCTAAGGAATTGGTCTTAGAAAAGACGAAGATTGTGGTAAGTTAATTTTTATTTTTAGTTATGCCTATTTTCTCGAAATTTCTGCTTTTGAAAGGAAAGGGCAATTTTTTTTATTGTAGTTTGTGTCTTTATACTGAAGAGATCATAAGTTATTGAAATGTGAAGACTTGCTCATTGAGCACATACTTTTTTGTGGCAGGCGGGCCATCTGGCTTCAACTGTAACAATGAAATGTCCTTACATGAAGAACCTTGATCTTTATTTCTCTATATAAAAAAAGAAAATTAGAACGATGGGCAAGTTTTAGATAATTATCTCAACACTATGGTTATTGCAGTTATGTACAGGTCTCATGTTAGATTCCAGTGTATATTTCTGTTTGATGATTAAAATGAAAAGAAGTCCATGGATAGGCCATACAATGATAGTCATTTAGTGCTTTAGGAAAAAGAAATGAAACAGAAAGGAATAGATCTAAGGCAGTATGAAAGATCATTAAGTGGTGTCGTCCAGTCTTACCGTTGTTTTTTAATGCACATGGCCCTGGGTAAGTGGGTGATTAGTTTCTGTTTGCATGAAAGGATAGATTAGATTTATATTATGCATATCCCAGACAAAAAGTATACTTTCTGCTCTATTTAACCAGCAAACTTTATAACATTCCTAAACATTGCCTATTTCCTAAGAAATGATGTTAGACACGTTCATGGCTGTTATCTCTTTTAATGTGTTGTCTGAACAATGACATCTAAAAAGTTGCATTGTTCATGTTTTTTATCTGCATTTAATGCGTATTGTTATTTCAGAACATGAAGGAGACTGCATCGGCACCGAGAAAGGACAAGGAAGACGGCAAAGACAGTGATCCCATCTTGTAAGTGTTTACCTCTGCCTATCCCAGCTTTATATAGGATGGCAGTTTATTGTTTTGTCCAGGAATTTAAGACTGCAGGCCCACTTTTCGAAAAACAGTCTGCTTTATAGAAAATTTTGCGCTCTGAATTGAGGATGCTCTTTATCACGAACTCACACATTGTCGTGTGAGATTTTAAGATACTCAATAAAAATTCTCCCCTCACAGGAATCGAACTCAGATCTTTTGTGTGTGACAGCGAAGCACCTAACCACTGGTCGCCTGAGATATATAGGTATACTCCTATAGGCTCTGGGGTTTGAAGTTTGTTCTTGTGTAGGTTTGGTTCATGCTCTTAGTCTTTTTGCTGATGATGATTGCAATCGCAGTTGAGCTGATTTTTTTTCATTTATACATACAGACAGTTGACTTGAGATTTTTGTTGTCTAGGTTTTCGTTTTTAACCCTTAAGATTCTGGTCCTGGATAAATGTTCGCCGATAAGTGCATTCCCGCGCAGCCAATACAAGGGGGAAAAATAAGGGCTTTTATTTTCTTTAAGTTTACAGCTGTTTTGGATGAAGTGGACTCCATTGTACTTACTACCAGGGGAAAAAATTTTTGGGACTGACATATTCAAGAAGTTCTCTCTCTCTCTCTCTTTCTCTCTCTCTCTCTCTCTCTCTCTCTCTCTCTCTCTCTCTCTCTCTCTCTCTCCCTCCCTCTCCCTTTCCCTCTCCCTCTATTCTATTTATCTGTCTATCTATCGACTTACACCAATTATCTTCACAGGGCTGAAGAAGTAGCAGTGGACATTGAGGGCCCCAGTGAGGAGGAACTTGCGGCGGCCAACACCATAGACAGGTCCTGCAAGTCACACAGTTACCTCAGGTTGGCATAAATGCTAGATTGTACTTTTAACTCATTTTCTTGATTGTAAATGCTGTGCTTTGGTTTGATTGACCTTTCCATTTTTAAACGGTTGGAGAGCGCCAGTGGTAGTTCCAACTTGTTGTTCTTTTGCTCTGTAGTCTCTGTCTATCTGTTTCACTTTTTCTCTACAGTAAATGACCATTATTGTATTAATGTGCTCCTTTTTAATCACACTTAACGTACCTGGACGGGCATTGTACTTCAATTTAAACAGAGATGGACTTTATGCTCTTGAATCAATATTTCCCTTTCCTTTCCCTCAGCTATCAGAACCTGTGCTGTAATTCTTATGCTCTTTGTTATTTAATGCAGAAGACAGTTTGATTCCCTCACAAAGAAATTTTTTTGTTTTAATCAAGTATCCCCATCTGCTGTGGTCCTGTAAAACACTAAGAAACTACTTAACCCGCGTTTAACCCCACAGGTAGTATGGAAGCAGCCTGCCTCCAAAATTTTCTTTATTGTGTTGATGGGAGCATCAAACCATCATTCACTTCTTTCACCCTGGTCCGTCAAGAAGGGCTCTCCATCAGTCTCTATTCTGGGAAATCTTCTTCACCTCCAGCCAGCTACATCCCATGTGCTTGAAATCTGCCTCTAGATCTCGCTCCCAGGTGGATCTCAGCTTCCCTCTCTTTCTCTTCCCCTGGGGATAAAACATTGTCAATCTTAAAAAGGGGGTGGTTGGCGGGTGCTCTGGTGTGGTTTGCTTCTTCTTTCCTTTCAAGCATCTTTGTCTCCCCTCCTTTTTTGCGTTTGTTACTCTTTTGTAACACCTCTATTCTTCGGCACTTATGTGACCTTATTGTGTTGCAAGTAAAACTCTTACTAGAACTAAAAATCTTTAAAACAAATTCCCTCACCCCACAGCCTGGGTGCCTTCCTCTCTGTCTCTTTCCCTGGCATATTACAATTTTAAACCAAATTCCCTCGCCCCACAGCCTCTCTGTCTCTTTCCCCTGGCATATTACAATTTTAAACCAAATTCCCTCGCCCCACAGCCTGGATGAGCTGGAAAAGGAAGATGAACAGGAGATTGAGGAGGAATTCAAGGCAGACCGGGGCCGAGTCAAGCGTCTCACCAAGGCCGTGGGCCTCCTCCTGGCCTCTCGCTCAGAGCTGTTGTGCTTCTTCCTCATGATCCTTGACCAGATGGTGTATGGTTCACTTCTCTCCCTGCCCCTGCCGCTCATGGTGTTCCTGTGGGGGATGCTGTCTGTGCCCAGGCCTTCCAAAACTTTCTGGGTCACGGTCATTACCTACACAGAGGTTAGTGTGTTTCCTGTTGTTGTTTTTAAGTAACTTGAACCTTTTTCTTAGAATATGCTGTAAGCGTCATTTCTCAGTCACCCATTTTGGGGGTTTACAGACAAGAGTGGATATTCAGAATTAACCTCAATGGGTTAACTTACAACATATCGTCAGCCGTCTGTTTTACTGTACTATGCCCAAAATTTTTTAACCTAAAAAAATTCAGTTTCTTAATATGTGATATCAGCTGCATGTGCTCAAGAAACCTTTCGTCAAAATTCAAATTCTAAATGTTGAAGAAAGCACGATAAGGTGCATAAAGTAGGTACTTATCTTAAAAGAATTTTTTAAAATTTCTGTCTCCTGTAAAAATTTTCTTTCTGGGATATGGGCCGAAGGGAACACATTCAAAGGCCACTGGATCAACAACAGAAACATCACAAATTTTTCCGATTAGGAGGTTCTGGAACGTTTAGAAAGCTTGTCAACAACTTATTTCTTGGGAGTGTTTATTTTCGCTATTTACTACTTAGTTGGGGGGGGGGGGGTTTGAGTAACGAGTAAAAAAGCCATGGTTCTGAGTTGGGCACTATGTAATTCTTTAAATTTCTCAAAACTTCAAAAAAATAACTTAGACTTGTAGAATGATGCTGACAATATGTAAATCTGCAGCATGGGAATCCTAGTTTAGTATTCAAGGCATCCGGCTTATAATGACAAGATTGTTGGTTCAGTTCTCAGCTTTAACATGTAGGAAATTGTGTCCTTGGGAAAAGCGCTCTTTTTTTTCTTGATATTTTATTTTCATTCACCCTGCTTAGTATGGATACTCAGTTGTCAGAAGACTGATAAGTATTTAGATGGTTGTGTTTTGGCACCCATCTGGCTGCCACACCATATGTACCTCAGAAGGACTACTAGCTTTTGCTTCCAAGGGAATGCTTGGCTATGAACTGTCTGTTTTAGACAAGACGAATACTTTGTACAGAGTTGGGCATTATTGTTAGTAGTGTCATAATGTGCCTTTTCTTGTGTGCTGACCATGAAGATTTCCTACTTTTTTTTTCTTACTTACAGGCTGTGGTGGTGTGCAAGTACATGTTCCAGTTTGGATTCTTCCCCTGGAATGATGGACAAATCAACACCAGCCCCTTCTTCCCTCCTCGCATCATCGGCATTGAGAAGACCTCCAACTACGCTAATGTGGACATTGCTCTTCTCCTGGCTCTCTTCCTGCACCGCTCAATTCTCAGGGTAACTACAATATTCCCTCGCCATATCGTGGTTTACATTTTGTTACATTTCTTGTGACGATTTTGTTCTAGGCAGAATAGGACAACCAAGGAAGCTCTGTGGGTGGTTGGCGGGTGCTGTTGTGTGGTTTGCTTCTTCTTTCCTATCAAACATCAATCGTCCTTATCTCCCCTTCTTCTTTTTTATGTTTGTTACTCTCTTGTAACACCTCTAATCTTCTGGCGCTCATATGACCTTATGCCGTTGCGAGCACCGTAAAACCTCTACTAAAACTAACTAAAGGAAGCTCTTTTTACTCGTATTGACCGAGATGCCTAACTAGAAGTGGTAGCATTATTAACAAGTATATACACAGTTAATTTTTTAAATAGTGTTGGTCTCTCATACTCCAAGTGTAGAAAATGTTTAGTAGAGCTTTGGAGAGGTTTATAAGAGTGTGGTGAAGGATTAGAAGGGCTCAAAATTCGTTATAGATATACTTTACTTTACTTTACTTTTCCGATCCAGCGGCCATTTGGGTTCTAGCCCTTCGGTCTGTCGATATGGCAAAGAATTGACAGGTTTTAATCAGCTGTGCTTTGTCGCTGTATAGAGTGTTTCCGATGTCTGGGGAGGCAGGTAGGTAGGTGCTACGCAGGTCACAAAGTGCAGGGCAGTTAAAGAGGTGGTGGGGTACTGTTTCATCCTGGCAGTCGCACAACGGGCAGTCGGGTGGGGTATCCTTGCGGATCCTATTAAGGTAGGAGTTTAGTGGTATGTGTTGTGTTCGCAGGCGAAATATTGTGACTTGTTCTCTTCTATTCAGGGAATTTATTGCATCTTTATCGTTATAGATATATTGTTTCTACTTTACGGATATGGGCCGAAGGGAACACATTCAAAGGCCACTGGATCAACAACAGAAACATCACAAATTTTTCCGATTAGGAGGTTCTGGAACGTAACCCCTGCGATATTCAAGGGAATACTGTATTTCACATGGCAGGGACCAGACCCTGCTGATGGGTGTCTTGAAGATTGATCAGCTGCTCCTTGAGAGCATGAAGAGCAATATTTGTGAAATCCGAACCCTTTAACCAACTTCATTGGAGTGTTATTAGATCAAAATAGCATGCTGTACATACATAATTTGGGCCTATTTTCTCTTTGTTTACACAAGGCTATTGGTGCAGAGATGTGATTTTTCAGAAGAATATTGAGATTATCATGGACAGAAAGGAACACAAATAAAAGCAGCCCAAAGTTAGCTTGTCTTGAAAGCTTGAGTTTGAAAATATGCTTTGCGTAAAGAGTTAAATGTTCTTGATTAATGTCACTTTTTTAAAGTATGTATTGGAGAAGGTAGACATTTATATTATTTACAGATATCTAGGCTACAAGTTGATAGTTCTCATGGTTTGTTTTTTCAAGTAAATATATGCTGGAATACATAAACAGTTTTACACATTTACTGACAATACTATGGGCTGTGGAGGCTATACATTTGTCTTCTTTATTCAAGATATAAGGGCTGTAAAGAGTAACATTATGTACAGCATTGGGTAAACAATTCTTTTATTTGCAGAAATATGGGCTATGGAGAGACGCAGCAGACATCACAGCTGACTTGGAAGCGGCTGGCATGAAGGAACTTCCCACTGAGCCAGCGGTATGTCTAAGCTTTCCTCTCAGTTTTGTCTTTTTGAACTTCATGGGTTGTTTTATTTTTTGGTGGGTTTTTTTTGTTTGGGGGGGGAGGTGGGGGTTGTGTTTTTTTTAGAATTGGTCTCTCCGCTCAGAAAATCCAGTTAGTATGGCATCTGTCTGACAAACGGAGAATATTTTTAGTACGCCTTGACCTTTCAAATTTGGGGGTCAGGGGCTCTTTAAGAACATGGGTTGTCAAATACGCACAATTCATCAGCTTATCTAATGGCTCAGTTGCCAAATTAAGCCAACTAAAGACAATCTGGTTCAAGACATCTACATACAGACGGTCTTCAGGACTATAGATTCACCAAAAAAGTGGCCCTAATCAACAGTTGAAGCTTATTGGTCCTACATTTTGATTCCAGCAGAGTTCACAGTAAAGATTTTTGGCTGGCCTTGCTGGGATCATGATAGCTACATAAGCATTAATGTGTGGGGTCTCTGATATTCTTACTAATAGAAGTAGCTCTAGAGGATTTTTTGGTCCATTATTTCTAAACAAACCATTTTAGACAATAATGATACTAATTCCTCTACTGAACTTTCAGATCAAGGATAAAGAGGATGATGACGAAGATTCTGAGGAGAAAGATACTGCTGTAGACAGTACAGAAGATCAAGTGGACACAGGAGATGACGAAAAAGAAGAGCCGAAGGCGAAATCCAAACTTGCTCATGGGTAAGGAAATAGGAACGTGCACACAAGAGTTGATACCTATATCTGTCCTTTGTGGTGCCCTTCCTTTATATTCAAAGGCCAGATGAGATGAGAGGATGGTGGACTACAGTAGTGACGATTATGCCTTAAAACATCTACTCAATTACGTAGTCATTCAGAGTAGATGGTTTTAGGGCTTTGTCATTTGGTTTGCTCCTTTGACTTTATTTCAATCAATGTGACTTGTCCTATTTGTTCTTGACAAAATTTAATTTGCTAGCGTCTGTGGTGTAATGGTTAGGCTCTTTACCTTTTCATGTACAAGACTTGTTTTCAGAGAGGAGAAGTTATTTTATTGGCTATCTCAGTCTGCCTAACGGTATGTTGTATCATACTCAGTTTGGGTCAACCCTAACAAGCAAGGTTTTGATTTAAATTGCCTTGATGGAGATGTAGAAATTTTTATCATCTTTGCATGACTGTAGTGCTGGTGGTTTATGGTCACTGAATGTGATTTGCTCTTTCTGATTTTGTTTTATTTTTCATCATTAGAATTATTTATATCTGTTCTTGGCAAAAGTGGCTATCATTAAAGACTGAGAAAGTCTGCAACTCACTGAAATCAGTTTGGCAACATATTCACCAGTGTCTCAGTTAACTTTCCAGATAAACGGCTAAGGGTGGTCATTGTTACCAGCATCATCAAAATTGTTGTTTTAATCGTCGTTTTTACTATTTCTCAACATTGAACGGAAAGTCTTGCTTATCTGTGATGGAGGTAAACTTTTTTGGTTACTTATAGCTATTATTTAACACTCCTATCGGCACTGTTTGGTCATTTATTCATAGCAATGGAATTTAGTCTTTCAGCTCACAGATTACTTTTTATGATTATGGACATGTTTTGAAAAAAAACCTTTTTGTAACTTTATTTGTACATGTAGTTTTTGTTTGGTAGTACATTGAAAAGAAAAAAAAAAGTAGTTCTGCTTTATTATGGGTCTGTTGTTTCTTTCCAGGTTGTCCTACCTGACTGACCCGTTCACCAAGTTCTTCTGCCAAGTGACTCAGTCCTCGTACAATGCCACGGTGGACGTATACGCCCCCATGTTCTTCTGTGACTTCATTCTCTTCCTAGTGGTTGTCTTTGGCTTCAGCTCTTTTGGACCAGCGGTAAGAAATTATATGAATATATTAAAGTTTGAGAAGGGGGGGAGGTGTTTTTTACCAGTGGCGTTACGTGGGACTAAAGGTATGATCAGTTTATTTTAACTGGGAGTAGTTCCTCTTTGGCAGAGCGGAAGATTTTTTTTTTTATTCCGTTATTTATAACGAAATTAAATCCTTTTTCAGATTTGAAGTGTATACTCATGTGTCAGTTTAGTCCGTTGCCAGCTTTGCCGTGGCTTTCTTCAATTGTTAGTGTCCAAACTGCGTCCTATAATCAAAAGTAAGAAGTAGAGATACATATTTGAAAAGATGTTCATTCCACAGATCATCTCTAACTAGTAGAGCTGGGCGAAGAATCGGTTCCCGAACCGATTCCCGCGGTTAGTGCCACAGAGGAAAAGTTCCGATTCTTTATTTATGTAAACCGACAGTTACCAACTATAATTCGAAGTGGTTAGGCTACCGGACTCGTAATCGTGAGGTCGTGGATTCGGGGATTCGAGCCGCGGGCCCGACGTTGTGTCCTTGGGAAAGACACTTTACACAAATTTTCCCCACTTCACCCAGGTGGGAATTGGTACCCAGCTATAGACAGTGAAAGATCTTGTCAGTTTATTAGTGTTTGAGTGCTTAACCAGCTGCTTGCACTGCGTGCTTCCCGGGAAACAGGATATGTCCGAGTGTTCTATGGTCTGCTGGGGTAATAATATAGTGTAAAGTGCATAGAGCTTGCTTTCGAGTGGGAACATGCGCTATGCAAATGCTATTTATTATTATTATTTATTAAAATTGTCTTCTGTTTTTTAAACTTACTTTTTAAAAGAAAAATGTTGGTGCCTCGCGGTGTTTCGAAATAGAGGTTATCCTGGATCCTGAAGCTGCTTGAAGCTGACCAGGTTACCGGAACTAGCTGGATGTTGGATTCATCGGAAGTAATTGCTACTCGCCAGAAGTAATCATGTAATTGTCTAGGGGTCGGAACCCCCAGAAGAAATCTTAGACACCCGGAAGAAATCACAACAGTGGAAAGAAATTGGGTTCGGACTCGATTCCTACGATTCCTAGTTCGCTATAATCAGGAACCACCCGCAAATTTTGTTCTGCAGTACCTTAGAGGCCTCTCGAGCTCTTTGTAAAGCAGAAAAGTTTTCAGGTTTGTTAGAGTTCTTGAACTTGTAAAAGGCTGATTTTGTTGTTTTTCCACTATAAAGCAGTCCTTTGACGAAACAGTCCTACTTGAAAATTTGCTTAATCTCTGTGAGAGAGGAATGCCTTGTTGGTAGTTGGCGTGTGCTCTGGTGTGGTTTGCTCCTTCTTTCCTATCAAACATCTATCGTCCTTATCTCCCCTCCTCCTTTTTTGTGTATGTTACTCTCTTGTAAAACATAATCTCTTCTTTGGCGCTTATATGACCTTATTGTGTTGAAGGTGCCGTAAAACTCTTACTAAAACTAAATAAGGAATGCCTTATTTTTTTCTTTCATGTTGTGATAGCGAGATTTTGTTAGAATAGATTTGACCCTCATAATTTTCTTGATTTTCTGAAAATAGGAGACTGCAGGTGATGGTGATGTGACCAGTTACATTCAGGAGAACAAGGTAAGCAAATAGCCTAAACTTGACAAGTGACAGTGCTTTGATTTTGTGTAATGGTTCATTAAGAACTCTCTTGGCTGTGACTTCTGAATGGAATCCCAAGCAAGTCATGATGAAATTACATAGATTTGTTCCTATCAGGGAGGTTAACTTAACTGATCTCGGAACCAATTTCGCAGTGGTATATATTGTACAGATTATGAGCTAACAAATTGGCGCTTGAAAGTTATGGGAAAATATTCAAGATATAACATACTCTTTGTTGCAAATTTATATATTTCTTTATGAAATGGTTTGTTGATGATTATATAGACAAAAATTGGTTTTAAGTCTTCCTTGAGTCATCTGCTAGTAGATCCAACTTTTCCCATAGCCCTTTCCCGAGCTTCTTTTATCTATCGGTTTGATTTTTCTGAATTGATTATAATAATAATACAATAAATGAGTTTAACTGCCAGTATCCACACGCACACTCTCAGTTGGTCAAGCCATTTATATGTTCTTGTAAAGAAGCAGACCACACAGCTGACTATGGCATTCAGACCCACAGAAAACAACGTAAATAGAAAGATGTTTGGCCAGTCCTTGTGTCTCTCCAGCTGGAATTGTACACAGACTGATAGATATGCTATAGAGGACTGCCAAATTTGTCGTTGAAATTGGCATCCAGGTGTAGAAGCATACCATAAAAGGAATCTTATTTTTTCTGTTCAAATCGTACATAATCACATTCTTTCCTCAGATTCCAGTCCCATTCCTCATCATGCTGATCACACAGTTTGTGTTCATCGTCATCGACCGGGCTTTGTTCCTGCGCAAGTATGTCCTTGGAAAATTCATCTTCCAGATCCTGCTGGTGGTTCTCATCCACATCTGGATGTTCTTTGTCCTGCCCTCCATCACCAAGAGGTATTTCTTTTTTGCTTGTAAATTTGTTCTTTTCATACTTGTCTATTTCTTTCCTAGTGGCTCTAGACTAATTTCGACACCTCGTGTGTCACTGAAGAAATATGGTGAGAGAGCTTTTTCTTTTTCTGGGCCAACAGTTTGGAACACTCTCCCTCATGGTTTGAGGAGCGAAATAAAACTTGATACTTTCAAAAGGGGACTCAAAACATATCTATTTAAGAAACATTTTAATTAATGGACAGTGCCTTTGCCTTTTTGTATGAGCATTTTTTATTGTCTGAAAGAATGTTGCTGTCAAAAAGTGGGCACATGATGAATTTGTATGGTGTTAGTATGAATGCGTTTTTAATCTCCTATGTACGCCTTGGGCCCATGCTGTGGGGAAAGGCGGGATACAAATGCTCTTATTATTATTAGTAGTAGTAATTCTGCTCTTTGTCTATATCTCTTTATGTAACTTTTGCTATTTAATTAAGAAAAAAAGATTTTTTGAAAGTGAATTGGAAATTATTTGTGATGATGGCTGAGCAAGTAGGTGTGCTGTGGTTTGGTAACCTATGAAACTGATTATACTGAATTTAAAGTTCTGTGTTAATCCCATTTTCATTCTGGAGCAGAGAGACTAGAATTTTTTATTCATGTATGTGAAATAATCTAAAGTTTTTGGAGTACTGAAGGGCAAGATTTTAGGCTTATTGCTTTCAATGAATTTGGTTGTGATGTGACAGTTTCTTGATTTTGTATTCACACTGTGTACTTCACTGTTGATCACTTTTTTTTAAAAATTGTTCCTCAGGAGTTTCTTCAACAACACCGCTGCCCAGCTGTGGTACTTCATCAAATGCATCTACTTCGGGCTCTCTGCTTACCAGATCCGATGTGGCTACCCTAACCGTATCTTGGGTAACTTCCTCACCAAGAAGTATGGTTATTTGAACCTCTTCTTGTTCAAAGGGTGAGTATTACAGTTCGTGATTGTCCTTCATACGGAAACATGACCTGAATAATCTCACTCTAAAGAGGCTCCATTAGCTCAGTTAATGTCCTAGAGGCTATTATGCTGATGGCACAGGTTGGAATTCCCTCTGGGGCATTTTTTAACTTGTGTTGTTTAGGGAATGTGATTGGTTGGCGAGTGTTTTGGTTTGGTTTGCTTCTTTCCCAGCTCCTTTCCCAACAAACTTCTATTGTCCTTATCAATCCTCCTTTTTTGAGTTTGTTACTTTCTCGTAACACCTCTGATCTTTGGCCCTTATAATGACCTAATTTTGTCTGAAATGATGTAAACATTCTTGGCTCTGGGAGTTTCCAAGGCTCTCTTGCTTCTTTGCTCATTCCTCTTGAAAATGGAAGTAAAGTATAGATGTCCTGCCTTTTGAATAATGTTACAGTGTTTAAAGGGGTATTTTCCCATACCATAACATTCCAGTCTTGCACAATAGATTCACAGTTCACTAATATTATTTATGTGTGCTTTTTGGTGACCCAAACTTGGGATGTTTTTTAATTGATAGTTCTTCAGTATTGTGTCAATGTGTGTCACTGACAATCATCTTTGAATGGTTGAAGGGGGCCACTCGTGGATCTTACTTGCTGGCTTTGCCTTATTGTTTCTAGCTATCTTGCTGACCCCATCACGAAATAATTGTAGTCTTGACAATGTGCGTCTCTTTACTCAAACAATCAGTAAATTGGTGATTTTTTTCCCTATAGTATGATGTGCATCTCTAACGAGCTTCCCTGATATTTCCAGATTATTTGCGTCTCTTTACTCAAACGATCGGTAAGTTCATGATTTTTCTCGATTGTATCTTTTGCATTTTTATCGAGCTTCCATGGCATTTCCAGATTTATGGCCATTCCCTTCCTGCTCGAACTGCGAGCCCTCATGGACTGGATCTGGACAGACTCTGTGTTGGCCATCGGCAACTGGCTCCAGATGGAAGACATCTACGCCAACATCTTTGTCCTCAAGTGTTGGAGAGAGATCGAGAAGGTAGGAGAAGTCTTAGAATAGAAACCTGTTCTTGTTGTGTCTTTTGGCAGTTATGAGTAGGTGTGACAAACAAAACGAGATCATAATTCACTAAATATGTTTTTCCTTGAGCAAGTAGTTTTGACCTTCATGTACTGTCCGAGATTTTAAATTCTTTTCTCACCCCCTATCCCTCAGCAACCGTAGATTTTTTTAGTCTACTACCATCCAAAATTTTATCCATATTTTTCTGCTTGAGAAATGGTGCTTGCTGTTCAGGTGTCCATTTTCAATTTTCCAAGGTATTTATATACTAATAAGAGTATTTCAAGATGGAGGTGGGGGATTATCCAGTTGGTAATAATTCTGTTTGTTCTTATTTTTTCTCTTTTTCCATCTCTCCCAGACCCTCATAATAATTTCTGTATCACTTTACCACAGTATCCAAACCCTCTGAAACTGACTTGACCTTTCTCTCCTGTGAACTTTTACCCCTTATCCCCATCCTCAGAAATACCCCACTGAGCGTGCCAACAAGAAGAGCCCGGTGGTCAAGTACATCGTTGGCGGCATTCTCCTTGTGGTCATCATCTTCATCATCTGGTTCCCCCTGGTTTTCTTCTCCTTCTTCAACTCTGTCTTTGTGTCTAACCCTCCGTACGAAGCCAGTGTAGCCATAGGCATCGGAGGCTACCAGCCCATGTTCACCACCACGGCTCTCAAGTCGAACATACGCTCTCTCAACGATGCTGAATTCAACTCTCTGAAAAAGCACTACAATCAAGATCCGGTGAGAAGGGGGGCTGGTGTTTGTTGGGAGGAGGGTTGATTTATTGTTCTTTGAGAAATAGCTTTTCATCGCTGTGGCAAGAAAATGAGTAACATCGTTTTGATTAACTTCACAGATTGGGTGAAACAGTATAGGAGTAGTGCATTTTTCTTCTGCCAGCGAAAGTTTTAGGTAGAGTGATATGGTTACTGAAATGTGTATGTTCTCTTGGAAATGTTGATCTCTTCTTGATGTGGGATTCTCGCCCTGTAGAAGTTGCATAACAAAGATCCAGATACAGAAGAGGGTTTTTGTCTTTTAACTCCATTTCTTCTTTTTCTTCTTCCCCTCCTTCCTCTTCCTGCTCCTCCTCCTACTAATGCTTTGCTTCAGCTTAGGTTAGCTATTGGAAGTTCATTTCCTCTTAATATAAGATAACGATTTATTGATCTCCACTAAGAGAAATTTGCTGCAGCATGGTAAATACATACACTCTCTCTCTCTCTCTCTCTCTCTCTCTCTCTCTCTCTCTCTCTCTCTCTCTCTCTCTCTCTCTCTCTCTCTCTCTCTCTTCTCTCTCTCTCTCTCTCTCTCTCTCTCTCTTCTCCTCTTCACTTAGGGGCGAAGCGTCTAAATACCCTGTTCACCCGTTTCCAGCCATTTATATAAGCAGTCATAAACACTGAGTATGTAAACTAACAATAATTGGTCTAGTAAAGTCTACCTCAGAACGGTGGGGGGATAGGGGTGGGGGGGGGGCCTAATAATCTCGTAGCTGCTGCGAGTGCTTGTTTATTCTTCCTCGACTTTTTACCATTCTAAAATCAGGTCACGATTATAATTTCCTGGCAACAAAAAGCTAGTCTTGACAAAGACAGCCAAAAGTTGAAACCAAATTACTAATACATAATTTGTAGTATTGTCATCTCTGCTTCTTTGTCATCTGTTTAAATATTCGAATCTTTGGTTAAGTTTACGTTTGAAAAATCCTGAGACCATTTTTCCCACCGTACGTTTAAAAGTCATAATTACGTTTTGCCCCAAGTGGGAATAAAATTATTAATTAAATGAGATATTTCTCAATTATATTATCGGGTGAACATTCACTGATAGTATTTCAAAATTTGTTTTCATTTACAACTAAGTGATGCGGCCTCGAATAAGAAGTCTTGTTAATAAATTATGTTCCTATTCTAGGAACGTTTTTCGTGGGGCGCCTGATTTCTACCTGATTCTTTGTCTCATTTTGATTACCCTTTCTAACAAATCAGCCTTCGCTTCTGCCTTCGCCATTTTGCCGTGTTCACTGGATTTCCACTCCCAAGTTACTCCCAACCCCTCCTCTCCTCAGATGAACCAGAGAGCGACCCCTGTGAGGGGTGTGACTGCTATACCCTGGCGGGACAGAAGTATTGTTTCTGTAACGGTGTCTACACTGGCTCCACTTGCAGTGAGTTCACAGTTCATTCAGGACTTTCTTTCTTTTCTTTTTCTTTTTTTTTGGGGGGGGGGGGGTAAGTGTTTTACGGGCTCGCAACTGCATAATAAGGTCATATGAGCGCGCGGGACATATTGCGCATTTTCAATTGGTAGGAATTTTTGAATTTTGCCCGGGTGGCGGCTGAAGCCTAATCTTATCGATTTTGAACCACCAAGGGATCTTTATCGGGTGCAACTTGCCCACAGGACCTCCGAAATGTTTCGCCTTTATCCGAGAAGTCTAGGTGTAGATCTTTCCTACCAGAAGATCAGGGGTGTGGCTAAAAGACAGCAACAGTAAGAAGGATCTAAGGAGTAGCAGTAGAAAGGCAGAAAAAAAAATCAGGAGTATTCATGACAGATCTGACAACATCCAGATACAAAACCTGATTCCCCGCTTGCACACCACACACTCATACTATGTGCCTCAAACACGTACTTTCAGAGAGAGAGAGAGAGAGAGA